CATGCACACGAGCCTGGCGTAGGTAGTCGGGCAGCTTCACACGAAAGCTGACCGGGCTAGATGCCGTATCAGAACCGACGGCCTGGAGGATGGGGCATGGGCTAAAGAAGCGACGCCGAAACTTGCGAAGCGTGTCCGCTTCGAGTTGTAAGTAGCGGGCGTCGATAAGCACATCATCACCGACCTTGAATGGGTGATCCATCCTCGATCGGTTCGCACGTGCTGCCATGCGAGTCTGGGAAGCGGCTATGTGCTCATGTGCGGTCTTCATAATCGACGTCATGTGTGAAACCCAATCATCCAGCACGGGACAACTCGTGTCGGGGTGCATCTGGGATGGTCGAAGGAAGTCCGCGGGAACACGCGGGTGATAGCCGAGGTCGCAATAGCAAGGAGACATCCCCGTGGCTGGCGAGACGGCGTGGTTGTAGGCTATCTCCTCGTGGGCAAGATGGAGATCCCACTGCTGGTCGTCACGAACAATCTTTCGGAGAATATCCCCGAGAGTCTTGTTCGTGATCTCGGTCTGACCATCGGTCTGAGGATGGTAAGACGAGGAGAAGCGGAGCTGAGTGTCGTACACCTCGTGGAGCCGTCACCAGAATCGGCTGGTAAAGCGCGGGTCACGGTCAGATATGATGCTCAGAGGTAAGCCGTGGTCACGCACGACTCGGTCAAATACGATGTCGGCGACCTCACGTGCACTGATGGCATAACGGCACGGAACAAAGCGTGCACGCTTCGTGAAGCGGTCGACGACGACCAGGATAGCATCATGACCGCGGGGGGTCGGAGGTCGAAGAGGACCGATAAAGTCCATCGAGATGGACTGCCAACGACCCTCAGGGATAGGAAGAGGCTGGAGCAAACCATAAGGTAGGTGGTTCGCACTGTTCAGCTCCTGACAGGTGGGACACTCTGCGATGTAGTCCTTCACAAAGTCCTTGCGCTTCGGCCAGACGTACACGCGGCTCACACGAGCCAACGTCTTGTGGAATCCTGACAGGTGGGACACTCTGCGATGTACTCCTTCACAAAGTCCTTGCGCTTCGGCCAGACGTACATGCGGCTCACACGAGCCAACGTCTTGTGGAAGCCCATATGACCGACAGCTGCCTGGTCATGGAACTCTGCTACTGCTCGGACACGTAGCTGTCTAGTGGAGGGAACGCAAATACGGGGCTCTCTGGTGCCCTGTGAACCGTGCCAGTACACAAGACCGTTGTCCCCGAGAGAGTAGCTCGGGACGGTCTTGCCACTTCGAAGGGTGGCGTGGATGTCGCGATAGTCGGGGCAGTGGCGGTACTGAGTGCGAAACTCGTCGATCACCGAGTGGTGGACGGTGGTGACCGAGATGGAAGAGAGCTGAATGTGCTCCTGGTCGTGGTCAGGGTGCCGGATAGGGCATCTGCGACCCGATTAGTCTCACCCTTGATGTGCATAGTGGTGAAACTAAACTCAGATAGGTCGCGCCACCAGCGAACCTGTCGAGGAGTGAGCTTCGACTTTGTCAGAAAAGTCTGGACAACAGAGTTGTCCGTGCGCACCGTGAATGATGCCCCGTGCAGGTAGTGACGCCAATGCCGAGCGACATAAACTACTGCGAGAACCTCACGTTCATCAGCAGTGTAGTTTATCTCGGCGGGCAGGAGCTGACGGGAGTAGAAGGCTATCGGACAATCACCTGAGCGAGACTCGACAGTGCCGTCCTCGGCGATGGTAGGAGAATAGTCAATAGAAGGCTCGTCAGTAGCTGGACGAGTAGGCATCAGTCGGGAAGCAGTGGTAGGGGTAGGTGGTGGGAAGCTAGGGATACGAGGATGAGAGGAATCAGGAGATGAAGGGAAGACCTGAGAAAGCACTGCTCCTACACTAAAGCCTGACGCGTCGGTGGTAAGGATAAAAGGGTGGTGAAAATCGGGTAGGTGAAGAACCGGCGCGCATGTCACCGTCTTCTTGAAGGCGCGGAAGGCGTCCTCGTGGAGGGGTGTCCAAGCCCAGGGTGGGATCTTCCGGAGGAGGGTGGAGGTAAGGACGTAGGAATACCTAGCGTATCCCCGGATGAAGTTACTATAGTAGCTGGTCAGGCCTAGGAAGTTGCGAAACTGCTTGGCGGATGTGGGAGCGGGTCACTCCGCAATAGCAGTGATCTTCGCGTCGTCCATGTGAACACCCTGGTCAGACACGTAGTGTCCTAAGAAATCCACTTTGTGCTGGGCAAAGCGACACTTGCTTAGCTTGGCGTAGAAGCCATGTCTGCGCAAGCGATCAAGGACGTCGCGGAGATGTCTGAGATGCTCCTCAAGGGTACGACTATAGACCAGGATATCGTCGAGGTAGACGAGAAGGTACTGCTCCAGGATGTCCCTGAAGATGTTATTCATCGCCCTCTGGAAGGTAGCGGGTGCGTTGGTGAGGCCGAACGGCATCGCCGTGAACTCGTAGTGGCCGAATCGCGATCGGAACGCGGTCTTCGGCTGGTCGGCTGCAGCGACGCGGATCTGATGGTAACCACTACGAAGATCAATCTTCGTAAAGAAGCCGTTGCCTGCTAGGCGGTCGAACAGCTCATCGGAACGAGGCATGGGGTAGCTGTTCTTAACCGTGTAGCGGTTGAGGACGCGGTAGTCGATGCAGAGACGAAGAGTTTCATCCGCTTTGCGAGCAAAGAGGACGGGTGCACCCCACGGGGAGTTGCTGGGTTTAATGAAACCCAGTCTCAGGAGCTCCTCAAGCTGACGCTTGAGTTCGGTGGCCTCGGGGATCGAGAGTCTGTAGGGTGCCTGGTGGTGAACACGATAKTCAGGCACGAGCTGAATGGAGTGCTCGACGTCACGCATCGGTGGGATGCCGGCGTACGAGAATGACGATGGGAAAACGTCGTGGTACTCTCGGATGAGGTCACGAACTGCAGGCTCCAAGTCAGTCGTATATCGTGCGAGTTCTTCAGCGTCAGCGTCAGCGCGCGACGGCGGGGTGGACTCGACGGACGGCGGAGGGACGGAAGTAGAGAAGGGAGCCATGGACATAGAGGGGGGATCTGGGTCCAGAGGGATGAGCTCGGCGTCCGGATAGGGTGGAGCATAATGTAAGAGATCAGTCACGTCCACCATAAAGAAGGTGACGTCGTCCTGTCGAATGAAGTGAGGGAACTGCCGAGGCGAGGTGACAGTGATAGAGGGAGATGGTGTGGGCACTGAAGGCTCCGGGGGGGGAGGATCGGGGCGTGGTATCGTCGTGGTACCTATGAAAGGTACGCAATACGTGTGTCCACACTTCGTTTTGAGAACGAGAGTGTTGGTCGCCCAATCGGCCTCGGTGTTGCGGAACCGACGAGACCACGGAGTGCCGAGAATGAAGTCGTACCCCGTCTCCATCACATCGAAATGTGCAGAGGAGCGGTGGCGACGAGACGCCGGGGAACGCTCAATCGGTTCGAGAGTGAGGAAGAAGGGGAGTTCGGTGACCGTCTGATCGAAGAAGCGCTGGGTCTTGTCATCCCCTAGGGTGACGGAGATGGGAGTCGGAGACTCTGTCGTGGGTAAGCGGGCTTCCTTCACCACGCGTGGGTGAATGAAGTCGCCCTGAGAACCGGAATCCCACAGCGCTGAGTACACCCTCGTGGAGGTCCCGAGTCGTACGGGGATGATCGGGAGGGTGCGATCAGGGTCAGAGAGGATGGCGAGAAGGCGACGCAGTGCTGCGACATGGAGGGTGAGTCGCTCCTGACGAACCTGGAGCATGCTCAAGTCCAGCAGAGAGGACACAACGTCCTTGCGAGTAGCAAGCTGCTCGCTGCAACGGGCTGAGTGAATGGATCGACGCGTCGGTAGTCGCGGCGGGGAAGGAGGGGAGACGGTGGTCTGCGGAGGCGCAGACGGTACTGCGACAGAGGGCGGAGTACACTTTGTCGAGTCCTGCGATACCTCAACTCCAGTAGCGAGAGGGGCGAACCGCGACGGAGATGTCGGGAAGCTCACTACTGAGGAGGGCGCAGGTGTACACTGCACCGTGGCTAGGAGGCGCCGCGGGGACGTGAGGCGCCGCGGGGATGTGAGGCGCCGGGGGGGGGATTGAGCACGACGCTGACGAGAAAGGTTAGCGTAGTGACGGTCGAGGGCGGTAGTGAAAGGGCACCGCGAGGAGGTATGACCGTCCAAGCGGCAGCGCAAACACCCACGCCGGCCCAGAATAGCCGCGCGCTCCTCAGGGGAAAGGACACCACGAGGAGGGGCGAAGCCCTGAGGGAGGTCCACCTGAGGGACCTCGGGGGGCGATGCGCCAGCGTGACCGGGGCGGCTGCGTGCCCGAGAGAGGGCAGAGAGCGCGAGCTGAAGGCGCTCAGCTGCAGGGAGGGCAGAGTCCTCCAAGTGATAGTGGACGGCCTTGCAGAGATCGAGGTCGTCGCTGTGGTCGCCCTCAGATGACAGTGGGGCAACAGCGTCCTGCTCACCATACTCCAGCGTGCTGAAGCGGCGCTAGAAGTGGCGGCCCTACTGCGTGGAACGGCGGGGGCGACCGCGGAAAGGGGAATGGCGCTGGGAAGTGCCGTGAGAGGAGGAGGAGGCGTAGCCCGTGCGCTGGGGCTGGGAGGAGG